CAGCCCGATGCACGCTTATTCGCGGATCTTTGTTAATTAAAATCTCAGTAACTATTGCGAATCTAGCAAAATGGTATAAGACTTTTCGACTCAGTTTTACTCCTTCTACCTGCCTACGAGAGATTGTACGGCCATTCTGGGACACCCTGTATATGTATACAATTTTTTTAATTAAAAACTAAACGTACTGATAACGCGGACGAGATTTGTTATTTGCGCGTGTGTTGTTTTCCGTATCGGCATCAATTTATTACGTTCTCACATTCGTATCGGGACGCATAATTGCTATTTATCGCGATCATGCGTAAGTTGATTTAGATCGCGTGTCTTGCGAGGCAGTATCAGCCTCGTCAGCTGTCATGCAAAATGTTTCCCGCTTATCGGTCTTGCACGCGCTATAGTATTATAACAATATGTTCTATAGTTTGTATACTGATTCTATTTTCTACTTCGCCGCCTTTTCACATCAATCGCGTCGTTTACCTTTCTCCCGAGGAACAAACTTTGTTCTCCCATCGTTCAATTTGATGCGAGAGATAGACTATGTTATCCGAATTTATGATGTTCGAACTTCTGGTCGATATCCAGAGTGTATATACGTATAGGAACTATGATGTAGGGTATTCAAACAGAAAACAAAAGTTTATTTAAATGTGTTCTAAAAGACGTTTACGTTTTTTTTTTTTCCACGTACATTATGTAATCTCACATGTAAGATGGAATCAAAGCCGGATCGGTAATGCGCGCGTGTGAAGATCGGCAATAGAATCGCAACAGACGACTCCGTTACAATATTCATTAGATCGATGGACAGCGACTGGTTCCAAGTGTGCGTCGAGCTCTCTATCGGTGTTATCATCGTCGTCAGATTAGGGTCGCGCCTTGAGACATCGCTCGTTTCATCGCGTTCCGTCACATAACACGCACGTAGTAACGTCGCCGCCTTCTTCGAGAGAAGAGAGTGGGATTCTTCTTCCAGAGTTTCTCTTCGCGCGAAAACGTTGAAAATTGACGAAATCCAATATCCGATGGTACGCGAAAACAGAATTTCTCGTCTATCCTCGCCGCGCCGTTGTCACGTACAACGATAAGAGTCGATTTCTTCGCGATCGCAGGACGTGCGTTAAAGTAACACAAGTCTCAAACGATGTTCGAAAACGCGGTTCAAGCGAAGCTGGTGTCGATGGTGCTGATCGGGGCCGGCAGCTTCATCGTCGGCGTCACGCCTGCCTGTTTCGTCACACACGCGCAGGATCTTCAACGGAAGCTGCTGCTCTCCTGCGCCCTGTGCTTCGGCGCCGGTGTCCTGCTGGCCACCGCGACGCTCCACGTCCTGCCGGAGGTGCGCGAGGGACTGCCGAAGCACGCCGAGCTGGTGTTCTCCTGCGGCTTCCTCGTTCTCTATCTCGTGGAAGAGTTCGTGCATTATTTCTGCCGACACAGTCATCACGGATCCGAACATGACTCGCAGCACAGAACCACGAGCGAGGGTAGGTACGTGCTGAAAAAAATGAAAAAAGAAACAAAAAACCAACAACAACAAATTTATTACACGAAAATAAATTGACACAGAGTAATCCCGCAACGCGGATGGTATCGATGATCAATGAAAATTTGCAACGCAAAATAGCGAAGCAGCGCGATCGCAATATTTTATGCAGCTTCTTTATAATCTGCTTTATTTTCTTTTACTTGTTATTTTTGTAACCGCTATCTTGTTGTCTCATATACATAACAATATTCAGATTTAAACAAAAATAATCGGTGGCTTTGTTCTTGAATAACGTGCGTCTCGCGTAATGTTATATACGCGACGTCAATTGTATCTCGGAAAATTATCGCCTTGTTATCGCCGATAAGTAACAATGCTGCTTCACATTAAATGAAGTTTTCAAGGCTATATCACGAAAATGATATAAAACGAGTTCTAAGGTATGATAAAGAACAAAGACAAACGAATTTTGAGGTTGCGGTTAATCAATCGAGCGATAATTCGATGCGCAAATTCATACACGCCGATATACGAGTGAGTTAAAAAATAAAAAAAAAAAAAAACGAAGTTTGTACGTGTAGCGAAGAAATGTTTCCGACTCTCTTCGTGCTTCTTATTACTATCTTTGATTAAATCTCCGCGCGAATGTTACGTACGAATCAAATCACAGCTTCTTGAAAGAGATTGCTTTTCGAACACGTTCAATAAATTCGCGTGAAAAACTTTCCTTCTTTTGCCGTGGCCTCTCTCGCCGCCGCTAAGGGAAGAGGAAAATTACACGATCGCTCTCAAGATAAACGAATCTCTATTCTGATAATGGCTAGCGATACTTCAAGGTTTTACTGCCTTTTCTTTTGTACGACCGGGACGGGGAATTTGTCGAAAATAAATTCCGTCCCGGTCGTACAAAATTCCGATGGTACAAAACGATATCTCGTGCGAAAATGATCGTCCACTTGCCGGCCACCCTTGCGCCCCGACACGATGTGATCCTCGAATACCCTATCCTCTATCCAACGCGAGAAACGAGCGAAGAAACGCTCTTGACGAATTCACTCACGTCGTAATAACGTTGTTCGCGCGTTAGAGAAAATGATCACTCGGGATCACTATCGTTGAACGTCGTTTATTCGATATCAACTTCTCGTGCCACCGAGAGACGTTTTACACACACGTACAAGAGTTTGCCATCAATTGACATTCAAATATCTCGTTCGCAAATACCGAGAGATCACGTGTTGTATAATTATACAACTCGAATTTCTCTACAAGTTTTTTACGTTCGCATTCTCGTAATTAAATTTGCGTAAATTGTGATTTCATATTCTTAGTCTTTTTTATTTGCAATTTTTTCACTCAATTAAAACTTACCGTATTTTTACTTACGAATTTTGTGATGTGTTTCAAATACTTCGTTGTTCTTTTCAACATCGAGGCGTGTGTGTGAAATAAAATGAACGTACATTTATCCGGAAGTTCTCGAGACGTTTATTGATTATATAAAAGCCGGGCGATTTATAAAGCATCGATTGTTAGCACGGTCGATTTGATTTTCTCGATTCCGATGCGCATATCTTTTGCATTTGATTCCGGGATTTCGCTACTCTTTGATCGGAGTATCTTTTCAATTCCAGCTGTTCGAACCAGGGCGTTGGTTTCAGCGGCGCCGCGCTAGACAGCAAGGTCTACATGTCCGAGGGAGAAGTGAGATTACCGCTTAACTACCGACAAAATCCCATCGGTGGTAACAACTCCGGTAACGCGTGGACTTACAGCAGCTACGGTGCGACACGGGGCTCCGCACGTGATCCCTGTTTGACGAGCGATAAAACGACATTTTTGTGCCACGGGAATCACGGCGAACAGTGCGCCGATACCAACACCGGACTCGCCGGTCTTGCTCTTGCTCTCACCGTGCACGCCGTTCTCGAAGGACTCGCGATAGGATTGCAAAAGCAAATTACCGAGGTGTGTGCGCGTGTGGATGCGCTAATTACGACCTAATTGACGTAAATTAGAAACGTAACGCGATGAGCAAATAGCATGGCAAACATATTGATCGAAAACGCGGAGCATTTATATGTTGGCGCTTGCAATATGTTGGCGAAAAGTCAAGCTCTAATTTCTAAGTTTAATAATAAAAACAAAAAACCCGGCTGAATGATACAAAAAAAATATTTGAAAAAGTATTTAACAATCTCCTTAATTGAATTGCGAATTTATCTGATAAATTTGCGCTATCAATCGTATGTGTGTGTGTGTGTGTGTAGATCGATACAATTAAAACATATGAGCTTTTACATTTTTCCAGGTGTTGCTGCTAACCGGAGCTGTGGCGTCCCACAAGTTTGTTGTCGGTTTTTGTCTGGGACTTGAATTAGCCGGACTCAGCAAATCCATTGGCAAATTAATATTCGCAATTTTTATATTCTCTATTGGATCCGTCGTTGGCATTGGTATTGGAATGCTAACGTTTCAAGTGAGATATCTCGATCGCAATTTTTTGCAATTAATATCTCGTTTAGTCGAAAAATAAATTTTAAAAATTAAAGAAGAGTTTTCTAAATGTATGTATTTTGATTACAGGCAGACACGGACTGGTCGAAGATAGTATTGCCAATTTTGCAAGGCCTGGCGGGTGGTACCTTGTTGTACGTTACCGTGAGCGAGGTTCTCCCGAGGGAAAGGTCAAAGTGGCACAAAAGTTGTCGCAGATACGCGGGCATCTTGCAATTTTTATCCGTCGCCAGCGGATTTACTGTTATCTTCCTTCTTAATTATTATGTAGGCGAGTGAACTGATTATGTTAAGTTTATTATTTTTTTTTTTTTAAAGTTGATTAGTCTGCTAATGTTTTGTGTGGTTGGACTTGAAGTCAATCTCTTCGAGCAGTTCTTGTGCAATACCGGACGAAATTTTTTTAAATTTTTTACAAGAGCTATTGTATGAAATTTTTTATTATTGTGATTAGTGAAAGTGATATGTTGTATATTTAGTTTAGAGTATTTTTTTAGTGAGTGATTAAGAAACACCATTATATATGATTTTTTTAAATTATATTTTTCATTACCTATTTTTTTTTATTACCACAAAATCGTGCGATTGCGAGATATTTGGGAACACAATAGAGAGATTTAAAATTTTTACTTTGTTTTTGTGCTTTAAAATATTGCGTGTAAGAGCATAAAATCCGATGAATAAAACTCTGACCATATACCGAAAAATCCACTTTTTTTTTTAACTCCGTGGTAAAACGCAAAACACTACGCTAGAACCAATTCCCGTGTAGTTCAATATTCGAAACACACTGCTTTTTCGCAGTTTTTTTTTACCGTTGATCAGAAATGTTTAAGAAGCAAGATGATAACGAGCTTTTTTCATTGTGAAACACGACGATTTGAAACCGGAGGACAATGTTTTGTTGTCGGGTTTTTTTTGTTTTTTTTTTTAGAGCTTACCGAGAATATTCGTCTTCCTGCATCGCTTCGCGGAGATGACGCGGGAATCGCGCGATGCAAAAGCTCGTCTTTATTTCAGCACAATTCCCTCAGCGTGTTTATGAGAACAATGACGTGTATTTCGAGAACGTCACACTGCGAAATCATCGTTGCGAAAACCTTTCAAATTTCCGACAACGCGTCCGTGCACGAGCGAGATTAATTCCGTCGCGGAAGAGAGCAGTAATTACACGAAACACACGTGTATAAACGCCAGAGAGATGCCAAATATATATAATCGCGTTATTAAACACAGGAATGCGAACTCGCTTGCATGAATTGCCAGTAATTAAGTAAAACTAACGTACGGCACTCTGAAATTATATGACGAAAGTTTGTTTTAATTATAATCTCCGACTCTAATTCGAATTCTATTTTGTAGCAGAAAGACTTATATCAGGAAAAAAATGTGTGTGTTATTTCCCGTCGCAATTTTCTGACTTTTTATTATTATTTACAACTGATCTCTCGTGACAAAAATTATTTACGAATTATCTTTACACATCATTTATTAATGAAATTTTGATACAGTCGGATTTGCCAAATGGAAGAGATGATGTGTAAGCTTACGTGCGTTTTTTTTTTTTAATACTTGAGATTCTTTCGTCGTAAACCGGCAGCAATTCCGAGAACGGACTCGATCCATTAGCGAATTACTCGAATGTAAGAACGGGCAGCTTTTAAAGAAGATATAGGTAGGTAGACATACATATATATAATATATATGTGTGCGTGCGTGTGTGTGTATATATATATATATATATATATATATAATATATATATGTGTATATGTGTGTATATATATATATATATACAGTCCAAAGCTTCAGATATATATAGTTTCTTAATGACTGCTGAGAAATAACGAATTAAATTCACTGTTCTGGTTTTCTCCAAGAAATTTGCTTAGTTTAATATTAAAATGTGCCATAAAATAACGAGATCGCTTGTCGTTTCAATTATTCCGCTCCTTGCCTTTTGTTTAATTTTCAGTCGATTTTACTGCAAGTACCGAGAATTTAATTAGAAAGAGGCAATTAGGAGAAAATATCGCTATTCGGTTTCCCCATTGTTTGGGCAAACCACGACGGAAAAGATACTTGCTGCGCGCGCGGTCGCGAGGCGATATTTCGCGATGACGATGAGATATCTTCTCTCGCGCGCGACACAGGCTTCCACGGTTGTATCGGAGGAGAAGGTGGATGCTCCCGATGGTCGATAGCGCACGAAGATTAGATCGGGATCGCCATTGGTGCCTACTTACACACGCTTCGTGTCGCGTTTCAGTGTTCTTTAGTGTTGTGCAGAGACGCGATAAAAAGGCTCTCTCTCTCTCTCTTTCTCGCCTCCTCCTCCTTCCTCCCCGTTCCTTTATTAGAAAATTTAAAGTCGACGGAGCGTTAGAAAGACGTTCTGACGCGGGGCGTTGGAACCTTTTTCTTGGGTTTGAAATAAAAAAAGAGATACTCGGGATGAAATTTCCATGACGCCCCCTTTGGGTTGGTCGTCACGAGGTCCGTTTTTTTACGGCAACGAGAGCTTCAGGCAAGCTTCCTCGTCCCTCTTTTCGCGCTTCGTTGAACGTGGGTAATTTCGACAAATGGACTCGGTCGACCGCGGGACGAAAGGACGAGAAAGACTCCGTAATTTAGCGGAGTAAGAAAGCGGTGGATCAACCAAATGCGCTCCTCCTCTTGCGAATCTCACACGTTGCCGAATTAATCTTTCTTGAAAATGTCAAAGCGCGATTTCTCGCGGAAAGCAGTTTGTCACCGAATCGCGCGCTCCTAAGAAACACATACGCAGCGCGCGCGCACACCGATACCTGTCGAACACACAGCTCTATACCTCCATATCTCCCGCGGTACGGGAATCCCTTCGGAGGAGACGGGGGTGCTGCTCTTGTCGTCAGTCTTCGTCGAGGCCACTCTCTTAGTATATACTCGTGTGTGTATACTTAGGTCTTTCGATATTTATACAGGGACTACATCGAGAGAGAAAGAGAGAGAGAGAGAGAGAGAGAGAGTGCGGCGGACGTTTCTTTGTAGCGCGCCGCTTCACCGGCGGCGTGAAGTTCAACGCGCATGTTGCCGCGCGAGAGTTCGCCATCTTGACTTTTCTGTCAACGCGCGTAGCGTCGTGTCGCGCGGCGACGTCGCTCCCGCGTTTTACCTTCGCTATCGCTTATCCGTCACGAGTTCGATCCCCAATTGTGTCACGAATCGCTCGCGAAAGTGCGCCGAGATAAAAAAAAAAAAAAAAAAAAAGAAAAAAAACAGTGCCGATCTCTCGATCGAGAAGTTAAGTTAAGTATGTATCATCGATATCAGAGATTTTCGTAGTCGAGTATAGCGTTCGCGTTTTAATTAACCGTGTCGGCTTGAGAAGATCAACTTTGTTTGTTTTGATTTATTCTGACGGTTTGAATTGTGCAAAAGAATCAGTGAATTACAAATTAAAATAATTTTACAAGCGCGCGATAATTAAACATAATTCGCGTTCGTGTACAAACAATTTAAGAGGTTGATATGATTATTATGTTATTATGTTATTATGTTATTACAGAGAGTAACTATCGATATCGAAGACGTCATATACGCGATATTCACTGGTGAAATTCGACATATCGCTAGCGATATCAAAATCCGCTCGAATCGCAGATCGACTTCGAGCCGCGCGGTGTAGCGCGCATGTCGTCGCGCGAGTCCGCCATCTTGTCAGTTTAGCTTCGCGCGCTTTGTCGCGTCGGGGTGTACGATTTCGTAACATAGTTGTTTTCTCGTCAATTCGCGTCGGTGTCTCTGTTGTTAATTATCGCACAGTGCCGACTAGACAGCGATCGTCTCGCACCCGCAACAATTGCAACACGCCGCGGTTTGTTCGAATTTTCTGTCTTTGTTTTCGACGGATTCGCGAACTCGTGTCCGCGTTCGAATATTATACGGTTCCGCGCGTACATCTCGCGCATTGACAACAGTTTTACTCCGTTCCGAATATCCCCGTGAATATGTCGATCATTTAGCAAATTGAACATTGCCATTATCAGAGTATCGAGAGATAAACCCGTTTTATTTAATCTCCTATCTTTGTTTTGACCGCGTATTAACCCGTATCATATTGACCGAATCGAATCCTGGTTGGAATTCGTCGAAGTGGATAAGTATATTTCTCTCTCTCTCTTTCTCTCTTTCATATATTTTCTATTTCAAAATAACAATTTTTTTTTCCTTTGTTGAAGCAATTGTTATATGAAATTTGTTTTCGCGAATTTCCGTGGGAAATTCTTTTAAGAGTACTACGTATATATAGTACTCTACTTATCACAGGAAAATTATCGTGTCGTCAAATTGTGCGCATCGCTAGCGACGTGTTTTAATTAACAACTTAATTAACGTAATGCGAGACGCGTTGTGTGTGAAATTAGCACAATCCGATCCAAATATAAGAGTGAGTTTATATAAACATATGTACATATATATATCTGTGTGCTATACGATTAATCGGTTGATGAGCGCGTTATCTCATTTCACGCGCGGTTTACAATAGATAAAAGCAATATACGCGGATTGTTTATCGAGCGATCATCCAGATCCGTGTGTATCGCGCGCGTCACGATAACAATCACTCTAGTAGTTTTGTTTGCGATAGTCTCTATAAACGCGCGCGACTGGACACGTTCTCGTCGGTTGGCGGTGCGGTGTTTATTTTCTCACGCGCGCGGTGAAGATCGTGTCGTGGGTTTATATCCCCACGTTTTTCTTTCGCGCCGCGCGCAACGGCAAACGTTATTCCCGACTCTTTACAGGAGGCGTCTTAGATTTTCATTACAAATAAAACGTGTTGAACGGAGGAGGACGCGTTTGCAGCGTCACGTAGCGCGACTTGAATAACATAAAAAAAAAAAAGAAAGAAAAACAAGAAACATCGTAAATAAGCCTTTAAAAGGACGGTTATTTCTCCGTTCGTTCTCCGCGCTTCTCGGAGTTGTCCTTCGATCGTTCGCGTCGCGCAGGTGAAACGAGAAATATGCGCGATCGCAATTAACCCGCGCGTTACTTCGCCGCCCGGATATTCTCGACGTTGGTGCGTGTTCGCGAAAGTGCCTCGTCTGGATGGAAGAGTCGAACCGATGTCAGAAATCGCCCAAGAATTGGCGCCGATGGAACAGTTGGCGGATCTGGCCGGGCGGCAGCAGCGGCAGCGGCGCAATCACAACAGCTGGTAAAGTAACTTTGTTTTATTATGCATGCAGCTCGCTGCAAACGCGGTTTCTCGTTTGTTTATTTTTGGTAAACTCGGTAAATGTAATAGCGGCGTGTTTTTATCTCGCTTCCGGCGAATCTCTCGTGATTGTGAAACATCTAAATTGTTTTAACGTATAATAAAAGCGATGCTCTTTAGAAAATACTTGCGGACTTTATGTTCTGAAAGTTGTTGTGTGCGTGTGTGTGTTGTTAAAAAAAATAAATAAATAACCACGAGAATTTGTGATAAAAATTTTTCATGAAGTTACACGAGTCATTTTTATAGGATATAGAATATGTTTTTTTTTTTCGACGGAATGACGCGAAAGCCGATTAAAATACGTGACGTTAATAAGCTTTGGTTTTGATGAAGGAAAGAGTATTTTTTTTTTTTTGTTACGCTGAAAGCTTTTTTTTCTCTGTCTCTCTTTCTCGCAAAATTCTTATTTTGTCAGGTGTGCATGATGCTTCTTTCGAAAATCCGTTTTACGTATTTGAAGCCGACGTCGTCGCGTTGTTTACTTTTTTTTTTTAAATTTTTATCCCGCGCATTGAATGCAAAGTTACACAACGATAGCTGTTAAATATCGCTCCTTAAGAATTTACTGTGCAAAACGGGTTGCGAATATCGATTCGATGTTGTCTCTGTAATACTTCGTTAATCTCAACAAAAATACACGATTTTTGCTGTCCTTGATTTTACGCGACAGAATAATAAAAATGTAAGAAAATAGGACAAATATTATTCTCAAATACACAGATTCGTTATATAATAATATAATTTCAACTTATGCACACACAAGTTCACATAATCTATTAGTTTTAATTATCATCAGACCGTGCAAACATCGGTGTGCATATATATTCGTCTCAATAATTAACTAAAAATGCAAAATATTTTTTTGAAATCCATTTACATTTTTTT